TCAAAGCTTCTCCTATTCTTATCTTTAATCAGATTAGATTTCTCTAGCTCAGGGGTGTCAAACTCAATTTCATTGAGGGCCGCATCAGGGTTGTGTTTGACCTCGGGGTGGGCGTGGCTAGGATGGGCATGGACAGCTGGATGTAACTCATGTGATCAAATGCCATTTTTGCTAGTAGTTTGTTAGCACTTTGCCCATGAAAACAGAGCTTGGGAAAGCCACACACCGCTCTCCTGGGCTCTGTGTTTGCTGGCAGAGGCACGGCAGGCTGGTCCTTCGCTGTTTCCAGGGCGGCCCCTTGGGCCAGATTTAAGTACCCCGTAGGCCAGATCCGACCTGCAGGCCTTGAGCTTGACACCCCTGCTCTAGATAATACAAATAAGGCACCCCTGATTTTGCGCATTACCCAGTTTTGAAAGGGGACTACTTCATCCAAGATGCTCGTGTCCAAAGGGAGAATGGGTATTTCCTCATCAGGACCAATGGTTCTTATTACAAATTCCAAAAGGCAGCTTGGGATGAAACTTCAGTCTGCAGTGGTCAATATAAAACAGATGTAGTATTTATATCTTTGCTATTGATTGAATTCTACTATTAGTTAATTATTAGTTAATTTGGCCCAAGTACAATTTGCCCTGCAGGTTGCAGTTCTATGGAATAAATCTGTTGTTGGATTAGACCAGTGATGGCTAACCTTTTTGCCATTGCGTGCCAAAAGCGGGGGGAGCGTGGTGGGGTCACACGCATGTGTGCCCACATCCATAATTCTATGCGCCCTGCCCCCCCCACTTTTGGCATGTGATGACACAATGGGCTCCATTTTTTGCTCTCCCTAGGCTCCAGAGCCTTTCTAGGAGCCTGGGGAGGGCAAAAACAGCCTTCCCCACCCACCCACCTGAGGCCCTCTGGAGGCCAGAAACAGTGTGTTTCCTGACTTCTGGTGGGCCCAGAAGGCCCAAAAACCAGCTGGCTGGCGCATGCATGCGTGTCGGAGCTGAGCTTGCGTGCCCACCGATATGGCTCCGTGTGCCACCTGTGGCACCCGTGCCATAGGTTCGCCATCACGGGATTAGACTGTTTATTTAGTGTTTTCCTTCCATCTTGTGAAGAATTAAATTTCAGGAGGCTAAGAGCACTATTAAACGTCAGCTAAAACAATCCGAGTGTGTGATAAGTGGGCTGCGCTGACCTCGTGTGTACTGAATTACAAGCAGATGGCATGCTTTTAAGACTCTGCCTATCTCTAAAAGTCATGGATTTAAGAAGATAGGAAATTGCTTTCTATTAAGGTATCTTGGTTTACTGAGGTCAATATGGATTGGCAGTGGCATATCAGAGTTTGGGGCTGTTTGTTCCAGCCTTGGAATTGAACTTAGAACTTTTTGTTAAGTAAAAAATGTGTTCTGACACTGGGTTAGATATAGATGTCTTCCAAGTCACACAAGGCTTTTAGTGTAGAATGGGGAAAAAACCCTAATAATTGTTTGATGAGGTAGCAACAAGAGAGCATTTCTTCACACACTCTCATCCCATTTTCTATCATCATACACACAGCCCACCAGGTTTAAATGAGGAAAGGTTGACAGTGTAGAACTTCAACAATTGTAGCTTTCTCTCATCTCAAATATGACTGCAGCCATATATTGTACTAGATCTTAATATAGTTTAGCTATTAGTATATTATGTGAACCCATCTTCTGTTATGGCTTAACAATATCGTATTGTCTCAGTTGAGCCAACTGTAGCTTCTTCCAATCACAATTAAGAAAATTTGATTTACCACGAAACACAATCCAAATCAATAAGTTAGATGCTGTAACTCTTAATGTGCTGCCAACAGTGAGAATATGTGGGTGAAACTGAATTTTGCCACTTCTTCAGTTTGGTTTTTCAGATATTTTAACTCTCCAGCTGCTTTTGGAAAAGGGAAAAGGGAGAGAATTCACCCTGTTCAGGTACCAAGCACATTTTACAATATAAGAGAATATGTAAGGTAGCAAGGTAACATGCTATCTTCTTCATTATATGTACTCAGATTTATATACCGTATTTTTTGGAGTATAAGATACACTTCCCCCCATTAAGAGGCTGAAAATTTCGGTGCATCTTATACTCTGAATGTAGCCCCGCCCACCCACCACTCCCCACACTTTGGCCTCCGCGCATCTTCTTCCTGGCTGCAGAGATTGCCACAGAAAGTGGCTTGTTTTTGGGCTCCATGCCTTGCCTTGCGTTTTCAGCCTCCAAACACTCTGTTTGAGAACCGTTCAAGGCTGTGGGGATTGCCAAAGCACATCGCCAATTGCCTCCTGAGTGCACATTTTCAGCCTCTGCGCATCGTATCTTAGGCTTCTGTACGCTCCGTTTTTGGCCTCTGTGTGTCGCGTTTATGGGTGGCGATCAGAGGCGATGTGCTTTGGCGATCCCTGCAGTCTTCAGATGGAGCATTTGGAGGCTGAAAACGCGTGTCATGGAGCCCAAAATGGCAACCTGGAACAGCTGCTGCCTTGTCTTACCTGCTTCTGTGCTTTGCCTGCTTGATTCACTGGAGCTCCCTCTGATGATCAGCTGTGCTTTTGAAGCTGCTTATCAGCCCCAATGAGGCACACTCACAACCAGCAAACTAATGTGCTGAAGCTGACTAGGCTAAGGACTAGCTAGATAAATACCTGGTAGGCAGATTTTTCCTTCCTATTTTCCTCCCCAAAAACTAAGGTGTGTCTTATACTCCAGAGCGTCTTATACTCTGAAAAATATGGTAATTCAATAACAGATTATTGAACTGATATGTGTGTGCTTGCCTTTAAGTTCTCACTTAGTTTATGAATAACTCTTTGAATAAATATGTAAGGAATGCTTATGTTGATGTTGGATATATGATATATGATGGCTGGGGACCTGGATGTACAAGCACTTTTTTAAGACAGATGATGATGTGCTGATGGCTGAGATCATGAATGATTTGCAGGAAGTGTCAGGCCATATGATTCAGTGAAGGGTATGGATCATAACAATCTACCAGATCAAGGTGATTGCGACATGGAAATGAATGATTGCAAGTTATATATAAGTGTTGGAAAAAGTAGAACATGTAGATAAATTATTTGTTCACCTTGCTATAAAATTTATTAAATATGAAAAAATAGATGGAGAAATTTAAATTGTGCAAATATTGGTAGAACCAGTAGCATGTGAGAGGAATGAATCCTTGTTAAAAAGAGGAGAAAATGCATACAAGTGCATGCTTTTTCTAGGTAGTCTTCAACTTATAACCATTCATTTAATGATGGTTCATGATTGCTCAGAAAACATGACTTACAACTCATCCTCAAATTTACAACTATAGTACAACCCCTACAGTACCACCCCTGGAATGCTTCAAATCAATGGAGAAAGCCTAAAGAAGGTGGATATTTTTCAGTATCTGCCATCTCCAAGGCAATGGCGACATCAATGGCGAGGTGCGAGCAAGGGTGAATGCAGCCTGGATGCGTTGGTGAGAACTCATTGGTGTGTTATGTGACAGACGAATGCCAACCCATCTTATCTGAAAATCTAAGATTTACAAGACAATCATCCGCCCTGTTGCACCGTATGGTACTGAATGCTGGGCAGCAACAACAGAGATCTAAAGCTCTCTCCATGCCATGGAAATGCGAATGCTCCATTGGATATCGGGCATCTTCCTCCTTGACCACATCACAAATGACACCATTCGACAGCATTTTGGTGTGGCACCAATTATGAGAAGATGAGAGATGGCCGGCTCCACTGATATGGACATGTTCTGAGAGCTGCACCTTCCACTGTTGCCAAGACTGCCTACCAATTAGAAGTCAATGGCCGGTGACCTTGTGGGCATCCAAAACAGAGATGGCAACACACCATCAACAAAGATATGCAAGCTGCGGGCCTGCGCCCTGGAGACACAGCTGACCGTGCAAAGTGGCATTCAATTATCCAAAAGGCAGATCCTGCACCTGCAGGAATACACTAGAAGTACAACCCCTACAGTCATGTGTTCACAATTTGGGTGCTTGGCAACCAACCTTCATTTTCAATGGTTGCAGTATCTTGTGAACACATCATTGCAATTTGTGATCTTCCCAGCCAGCTTCCAACAAGCAAAGTCAATCAGGGAAGCCAGATTTACTTAACAATAATGTGATTCACTTAATGACCACATAAAATGGTCATCAAAATCAGGTCCAGTTATGACGAATTCGCTTAATGACTGCATCACTTACAGATCAACATTCTGGTCCCAATTGTGATTGTAAGTTGAGGACTTCCTGTACAGTAGTTTGTTACTTGAAATCTGGGGAAACATAAAGCTAAATTGAATGAAATGGGATTAGGGTTTTAAGTATGTTGAGTAAAACATGAATAGCAAGATTCAATAATTAATAGGTAATGAATGAATGTCAATTGAAAACAAAAGTGAGTGACTTTATGAACAAAAAATGTAACAATATTATCTAACATCAAAGTCAGAATGTAAAGGGGAATTTAAAGTACCTCACTCATTAAGACGTTACTTAATTATAATTTACTATATTCACTTCTGTCCTATCCACTGGAGCTTTCTTAAGGTAAAGATAAAGGTTCCCTTCGCACATATGTGCTAGTTGTTTCTGACTCTAGGGGGCGGTGCTCATCTCCATTTCAAAACCGAAGAGCCAGCGCTGTCCGAAAACGTCTCCGTGGTCATGTGGCCGGCATGACTAAACGCCAAAGGCACACAGAACAACTGTTACCTTCCCACCAAAGGTGGTCCCTATTTTTCTACTTGCATTTTTTACATGCTTTCGAACTGCTAGGTTGGCAGAAGCTGGGACAAGTAACGGAAGCTCACCCCATTACGCGACACTAGGGATTCGAACCGCTGAACTGCCAACCTTTTGATCGACAAGCTCAGCATCTTAGCCACTGAGCCACTGCATCCCTTGGAGCTTTCTTAGGAATAATTTAAAGTTTGTTAATTAAATGGCAACATTTCAAACAATTTTCATTTTAATATTTTATTTATTGAACACTTTATATTGAAGCATTTAGATACATTTCCATGGCTTGTCAGTTCATCTCTTGGGAAAAATATTAGATACATTAAGCTCTACAATTTAAACAACACAAAGTATATATATATATAAATGCGGAGGCAAGAAGCCAACTCCGAGTCTCATTCCATCAATGAGAAAAAAAAAAATAGAAGCGTTGTTTTGTAGGGAAACAAAGCTAAGCACACTCTATTCCATTACTGATAAGTTCCATGACTAGCAAAACTCCCAGGGAATCAGAACTGAAATGAATATCAAAGAGGGATAATGAGATTGCTTCTGGAATCATGGACCTTAACATCTCTTGCATATAGGCACAATGTCACAGAGTGCAATTCCTAGAACATGATGCTGGAGCAACCTTTGTGATCTGTCTCGATCCACATTAGAAAAACCATTTATTTACCTTTAAAACCAGCAGTGATGCAAAAAGATTAGCAGATGGCCTTAATGAAGTTTCCTTGACATGAAGGTTGCAACCTGCTGGCCATAACACAGACAAGCATTGTGTGCTTCCTTATTCTCATTCAGACTTAAACAATGGCTTGCAAATTCTTTGTATTTGAACTGGTAGACCTTCCAAATCCATGAGAATCATGGACTGGAAAAATATTGCACAGTCATAAGGAGGAATGCTAGTCAGTGGAAACCAACAGCTGGGGGGGAAGGTAGAAATCCAATGAGTATTATACTAATCCGATTGATTCCCTTTGGAAATTAATCACAAATGTAGTTTCTGACCTGTGATTGAAGAAAAGCTTGCTCCTCCAAACATACACAGCTGCAAAGTTCCCCTGTCACAAATACTTAAACTTCTGAAAATTTATTATAGAACTTAAGTCTCATCAACATACAAAAGCTATTAGGCACAGTCCAGAATGCATTTAGTATTCCATCAAAATAAAATAAAAGCCACATATTGAATTATGCAGTTCCCAGCATCCCACTGACAATTAGATAAAAAAAATCCATAAAGTATAATAGCAATCTTTTCAACGGTGATATTTTCCAAATCCATTGGACTATTAATTCCTGTTATCCCCACTGACCTTGCTGGTTGGGGATGAGGAGAACTATAATTTTAGTACTTCCAGAGACATTAGATTGGAACAGATAAATTACAAACACTGTAACTAGGGGAATTGATAGTCTGGCTGATCCTTACAGTATGTAGGAAGGCAACCTGTTGTGGCCTCCACTCTCACAAATCACCACCATGATCAGAAGTAGAACAGCTGCATATCAACTACATATACATAAAGTTATCTAAAGTAAAACATAGAAGAAATAAAGAAGAATCATAATCAGACTCTCCTGTATCTTGAGAATCATTTTACCAGCCACTAATGGTGGTCAATGACTATTAATAATGCTCCATGATAAACAGCACCTCAAAAAAAAAATGGTATGTACCTGAACGACTGCCTCCTTTGTAGGAAATGAAGGTCAAATTGGCCTAAGCTAGTTTTGATTTAGCATTCAGATTTTTTTACCTAAGCATTGACTTCTGCAGGAAGTTCTTTCAAATGCACACTACTCATAGGCCCTCTCTTCCAATTTACAAGAATACATTTAAGTTAACTTTTTTGTAGATGATCCTGCTACATTAACACCCATGTTAGTTAGTTACTGCCCCGAGTGTCAAATACAGACTTAAAAGACATTGAGATGCAGTTCTGTTAACATGTATGAGATGCCTACGTAACTGAACTGAACACACTTTCTTAAAGAAAGACACACTTCACAAATGCCCATGGAGTTCTGTTGTATATACTGTGTATTTTGAAAGATACAAGTTTTGTATCTGCAAGAGGTGTCTTTAGCACTGGATATTTGGAGATGCTTGTATTAGATGAACAGTATAGAACAAATGGGACAAATCTCTAATTCCCATAAAAGGTTAAGTTCTAATTTGTTTTCAAACACACAAAAAAATGTTTAATACATGTTGCGTCTAAAACCAAAAAGATATTTTCCAGTTTCTGTTAAGGCAATACCTTTTATCGCATTAAAGATTTCTATAAATTGTCATTATTAATTGACCAAATCTAATGTTATTTAACAACAAATATTTTTCTATTTGCTAATGAAGTATCCATTATTTATAGTAAAGAGCCTTGGTATTAGTTGAAACAGCAAATCTAGCCAATATAAACCTTGCTGCTAATCCTAGCAGAATTAATTGGCTAGCTTTTAGAATTTTAAAGTACTCTTACCAAGAAAACCAATATCCTTTTGCAAGCACTCACTTGCTATAAACATAGCCCATTACTATTTTGTTTTCTTAAAATTTCTTACTGTTAAAGCCAAAAAAGCCCTATCACAAATGTTAAGAAGAATGAATTTTACTGCCCATTTCAAAATCTATGATGGGATGTAGCAATTGAGAATTTAATATTAATAGTCTCTATATACATGTTAAATTCTCTTGTCCTTGTATAAATACATTTATACAAACACATCTCCTCTCTTTGTTGAGCATTAGCTGGCTGGGGTGGCAAGAACAAAATCCAATCCCATCAGGAAGGTTTCAAGCACTATCAAACAGTCTTCTTTAGGGGCTACACAAAACCATGTGCTTAAAGGTCGCCTATGTGAATCAATCCTATTGCCATGACTGTTCAACAATGGGGTAGGGAGAAGTTATCAAGAATATCTAAGCTGATTTTATGTGATTACTTCTTCCTAGTCTGAAAGCAACGTTGTGTAAGCAGCGCCTCCAGAGATCAAGCACTAATGTGCTGAGATTTATTAGCCTTTACTCCCTCCATGTGGCTGTTGGCAAAAAGACCACTGCACATAGATTTCTAAATGCACTAAAATGAAGTATTTTCATCTGTTTGCTGCCCCCTCCTCATGCGAAAAAAAAAAAAAAAGATGGGACAGAATAAAATCATCAAAATGTTGAATACATGTATAATCCAGAAAGCTCATCAGATATGTATTTTGCTTTAATTCTACTTCTAGATAGCATTTTTAAGAAGAAAAATCATCCATTGATTATAACCTGTATTTTTCCAGTGATCCTTCGCAAGCTACTCTGCTTTCAGGTTCTTTAAGCTGTCAAACCATTTCTTATGTAATCTGTTTTTCATACCATAATCATGTTTCTTGGAGGCAATAGGGGAAGGGGAACCGCCTTCTCTTGCAGATATTGGCGGTTTTGTTTTCCCACTATATCATTCTACATATATTTCTAAAACTACTCATTTGTGGGCAATGGCATTGTGATATTTAGTTTAGAAATATAGCCCTTTGGTTACCAAAAAAAAAAAAAAAAAAAAAGCAGCAAAACCCAGCAGCACAATGATAATTGTATGCATATATTTCTAAACCTCCTGGAGTAGTTGTTTTTCTAATATGCCAAAGTTGAAATAATTTAACATAATGGGGCCTAGTTTTCAGTACATTTGGTTACGTTTAAAGTCTTTCCTGAAAGGCCTAGAACATTCCATTCCTCTATTCTTTTCCTACTGCGTTATCATTTCCCATCTCGTTTCCTGTAATTACTTGATTGCAAATAACTTTAGTGATCTAAATCCTTAGGATGCAACTTCTTTGGCTTAAAACTTCCCCACCAATGAGTCCGTTCCAAGTCAGAACACACAAAAACGTCAGCTTTGAAATGACACCCAGTTTAAGAGAGCTTGTTTTTACTGCAAGAGGTACACCGCAAGCTGGCTGCATCTAGGATGAAGGGTTTGCCAGCCAGCGAGCTCTCACATTCCAGGCAGGTGAAATGCTGTTTGTGCCAGGTAAGGCCTTCATTTTGCAGGTAGTCATCAGAAAATATGATCTGTGAAAGTAAACAAGTCCATTTATCATTCCTTTCCTGAATGTCTTCATTATGAAAACATCACACACAGAGAGAGATACAAACACAATGCTGTTGACAAACCAACAGTGTAAAGAGTGCATCCATGCTACTTAGCTTTGCACAGAAAATAAATATTTACACATTCCTATAAAGAACAGAGTTCTGGTCCAACCAAGCTGCAGAAGAAGTTTACATTTAGTTCTAAGCATTGTTTGAAAACAAATGCTTGAAAAATATCTTTGGTTAGGAGACTTTTTGAATACACTTTTTGAATACACTTTTTGAATACACTGAAATATATTATGTTTATATACAATACATGTATCTGAAGCAGGAGTTCCTTAAGTAATTTAAGTTCCAGGAAAACCTAGTCTCATATGTATTTTATGCCTTCTCTAAATTCTATTTCCTTCTCTTTACAGTAGTCTATACTCACTATACAGAGTTCCCTTCTTGAAATAGTAGCTAAGGTAAAGGTAAAGGTTCCCCTCGCACATATGTGCTAGTTGTTCCTGACTCTAGGGGGCAGTGCTCATTTCCGTTTCTAAGCCGAAGAGCCAGCGCTGTCCGAAGATGTCTCCATGGTCATGTGGCCGGCATGACTCAACGCCGAAGGCGCACGGAACGCTGTTACCTTCCCACCAAAGGTGGTCCCTATTTTTCTACTTGCATTTTTTACGTGCTTTCAAACTGCTAGGTTGGCAGAAGCTGGGACAAGTAATGGGAGCTCACCCCGTTATGTGGCACTAGGGATTCAAACTGCTGAACTGCCGATTTTTCGATTGACAAGCTCAGTGTCTTAAGCCAATGAGCCACCGCATACCTTAAAATAGTAGCTACTGTACTATGATTCAGTAAGCTCAGTATGCTGTATATTGTTCTTCCTATAGACACCTATGAAGGAGCTGAAGCTGTTACTGAGCTTTATAGCATGGTCAGAACAGAGCTAAATCTCTCTGATCATGGTTAACACTAAATGTTATCCAGCCCTAACTATCGTAGTGCAATGGTTAACATGTAAGAAAAATGGCTAGTCTCATGCATATATGCTACACAGGTGTCAAGAAAGGAAATTATGTCCAAAGGAAAAGGAAACATCTTATCAGTTGCTATGAGGGGGAAAAAAACAATGAACAAACATAGCCAAGGACTGCTTATTGTACTGAGCAGATATTTGATTGATTTCCAAGATCTTTTCAACTCTGCAATGGGTCAACTGGCAGAGGAAATGGGATGCAGAAAGGATATTTTTAAAATTTTAATTAATTGTATTAATTGTACAATTAAAATTAATTGTATTAATTTTTGTATTAATACAAAATTTTATCTTTTTGTAATTAGTTTTTTAAAAAAAACATTTCCTACAATCTAGCCTGTGAAATTTAGCATTTATTGAGTAATACGAAAGATGTTCCATTTGTTTATTTTTGCTTATTTCCCATATCCCACTTTTCTTCATATAAATTCTGGCTCTGAAAATATACACCATGATTGTGAGCTCTGGCAAAAATTAAGCTTGGATTCTGGATGGCTGTTCCTTTATAGAAAAGCAGGAATCCTCAGAGGTTTCCAAAGAATGAGAAACCAAGCCCTATTTGCAAGCCTAGATTTTGATAAATTGTTTAAAAAAGAAACACGGAGACGGAAGAACTATAAACTCAGCTGGGGCACTTTCTGAAGGATGCATTTATGTGCTAAATAACATTTATGATGACAAATCTGAGAGGTACAAGAATGCTTATTGGAAATATATTGCTGTAAAACATTTAACTGTATATGTACTTAATATCAGGCTCAAGGGACCAATTTGGAAGGAATAAAATATTTATCCCGGGAATGGTTTTAGTAAGATCAATACAAACTAAATAGCCTATGTGCCCATATTAGTTTTAAGGGGACGGGGGAGGAGAAAGTAAGCTAATTCTATCACAAGCTTAGAGCAGTTCTTTTAGAAATAGGATAAGACAAGGAATAGAAATCAAATGGCCTGGAGTTGTCTGTTTGCTACCTCTAACTTTGCTGCAGCTCCAGAGATAGCTTACTTCTGAACAGGGTGGATAAAAATCAATGATTTTTTTAAAAAAAATCAAAAAAATCGGATTTTTTTTATTTAAATCGGATTTTTTTGATTTTTATCGAATTTATTTTAATAAAAAACTTTTGGGGTAAAAATCTATCGTAAGATAGTTTTCTATTTAAGATACATAAATAATTTAGTTTATTCAGCATGAAATGGAGCTTAGTTATGTAGCATGAGGCTGTATATTCTGCAACACTGGGACTATCGGTGAGTCAACAGTGGGTCAAAGGAGTAGCAGAGATGACAGTTGCTCTTTAAAAATTATGATTTAAATCAAGTTGATTTAAATCAAGCCTTTTTACTAGTGATTTAAATCATGATTTAAATCAACTCCACCCTGCTTCTGAATGGCAGATTATAGAGTTTCTCCACCCTCCCTCCTTGTAAAAATGAAGTCTGTTTTAGCCTTTTTAAGCTTAAAGTTCAAACAAAAATATATGTACTTAGGTTCATGGTATAAAATAAATGTGCAGTGTTCTCTGAAAAATTCACTTATAATTAAAAAAATTCCCAGAAGAAATGAACAAAAGATCGTCCCATTGATCGCCGTATATAAAAGCACTCTGCACATTTTGAATTCCTTTTTGGCAAGTCAACATGCTTAAAAGGGAAAAGAGAGGAAAGATGTTGGATAAACATCTTGACTTCTTGCAGCTGTTCAGACCATCTCACAATTGGGGTCCAATACAGACAAGAAAAGAATACTCATTTTCACAGTAACCGTACCTCATCACAAGCTGCACAGCGGGGCCTTATGCTGTCACAGTAATGGCGTCCACACCAGATGGCTCCATTGCTCCAGAAGTAGATCAAGTCAACAAGTGGTTCAGAGCACTTAGAGCACATGAAGCATGCTGGATGCCACTGGTGATTGTAGCCGGCTCGGTCTGCATACACTACTGGAAACTCAGCAGGTAACACCTGCTTGCAGAAGTCACAACACTAGGAAAGAAATCAAAGTCACATATTAATGAATTTCTCTCAAGCAGCTTATAGCCAAAATGTTTACTCTTCTCCAGGGATTTCCCATTGAGATATATGTATGTATGTATGTATAGTATATATAAGGTTGCCCAACTAAAAAAAATCTACCATATATGATTAAAAAAATAGCCCGATATAGAAAATAGTGAATCAAATATAATAATTTACAAGAAAAGGGAACTCTGCAGAATTAGGCCCATACACTCAGGAAATGTTCTCTTCTAACTAACTTTTAGAGTTGAATACATTAAGGCACCCAAAGTGGAATACCCACAAGCAAGTCTCAGTATATAATTGTGCTGAATATGTCAGTTTAATATGTAAACCTGTCATCGGTTGCTAGGCATATTCAGTGCTCGGTGGTATTAAAAGTGATCAGCAGCAGTGCAGACATTGTATTGGAAAATTTTCAACATTGATATAATCCCCAGCACCCGCAACAGCCATAGCTAATGGCAGAGGCTGCTTGGAGCGGTAATTCAGCAGCATGTGAAGAGCTACAGATCCTTCCTGTTATACATAGCATATTTTAAGTGATTTCCATAGTAGATGACAGCATGTTGGCCTGCCCCATGATAACAAGTCAATGCTCTCATTTTTTTTTGCCTTTTAGACCCAAATGAAACAAAATAAGTATCCATCCAATGAGATGGACTTCTCCCTCGAGTCATTTTTGTGGAAACATTCTGAAGGCACTGCAAAAACGTTACACTTCCAATGTTCAGAAATGAATTTCCTAAGTAAAAATAAAGTAGTCGTAAAACCATCTGTGTTAATATTGGATTTAGCATTAAAGAAATCTAAATGGATGGCTACTTTGGAGCAGCATAATGAATGGTATTAAAACATACAGTAACTATAAAAAAAGCCTGAGAAAAACCTGGCAGTTACGGTAGCAAGAGGTTCACATTTCTTCCAATTCCAGAAGTAACAATAATTTTACTCTATTGGCTTCCTATACGTTAATTTAGGATTTTTGTAAAATACAGGAAACCATACATGCCAGATACTAAGTGAAGTGAGCCACATACCAATTTCTTACATAAATAAATATATAGATCTATATACACATATACATGCATTGTACAAATTGTAAAAGATCTGCTGTTCTATCAAAATACGATTCATTACACTGTCAAATTCCTTTTTAAAAACCCCTAATTATTACTAGGATTTCCACCTTTCTTCCTATTAAATGATTCAAAATTATTTTGAAATGAAAGGGAAATGAAAGATTATGTGTTTTTATTTCCTTTTGGACAGGGCTTATACAATGCACCACAGTTTTTAACTTCATATGTGCATTTTGCAGGCACTTTGTCTTGGTAATCTATAACTGTTCTATGACAGCCTAGAGATGCATTTAAAATTCAGTGCCCTAAATTCCCTGTAGTTTCTTACCTTTATCAATTTTAAGATACGTAGACTTCAACTCCCAGAATTCCCTAGCCAGCCATCCTTGGGAGGATTCTGGGAGTTGAAGTCCACAAGTCTTAACATTGATATGTTTGAGAAACATTGAGCTACAGAGTGATTTTCTTACCAAGGCCATCTTTCAGCACAGATAAACCTTTGGGAGAAACACAACCATAGTTTACAATAGTTATGACAGGCAAATTTAGCGGCAGCACCTCATAGCTCTTCCATTTTCTCTCTGCTACTCCTTTTCTCCTTCATCCTCCATTCTGACATTGCCTTCTCATACTTGCCCTTTCTGTTCTCCAATGTCTGAATGGACTGGTTGAAGCAGCTTTTGGGAACAGTTGCATGAAGTTAGACTAAGGATCACAAATTGTTCTATATTTCACTCACTTTTTTTTTTAACCCAGGTCCAATCTGAACTTCCCATAAGGCCTCAAGAAAGGTCACACATTTTAAACCTTTTCATACAATTAAACTCTTTTGCTTTAGAACTGAGAATGTTTGCTAAAGGAGAAGAGACTAGATCAGATATTGTGAAGGACAAATACTTCCTTCGTAGGCAAAAAAAAATCAAGTCAAAGTAAGCTTGGATCAAAATTGTATAGGAAGGCTGTACTGTTCTCTCCACATGCCAACCCCTTAGTCAGTACTGACAAGACTTTCATTTTGTTTCAGGAGAAATGAAAATATTTTCCTCAGAAAAACCTTCTGCCCACATCATCCTTTTTTCAAAGGAAGTTAAACTTGGCCCATGATGGAATGTCTCGGTCAATTTGTTGTTCTTTTTGTTGTTAAAGCCCAGAGTAAATTTCTCCAGGAAAATACCAGGGTGGCCAATACATGTCTTTCCTTTATACCATTAGAAGTCTGCAATTCACAGCAAGGCTTCTAGTAATGATTTGTATCATTATTACTTCAGAAAGAAAAACTTTGAAATAAATTAGAAAGATTTATCCAGTCAGTGAGCAGATGGTGACAAGAGATATAAAAGTTATTTGGGCATTTTATCTCCTTGTAGTGTTAAATCAAGATCCACATTCCAAGAAAATTAATGGAGTCATGTAGAGGCGCATAGCTTATGGTCCCAGACTCCATGTGCTCACCTCTGAGCTTTATCCCTAGAATCCCACTGACACTTTCCACTAAATTCTAATACTGAATACAAGAAAAGGGGAAAGTACAACAACAAAACAATTAGAAAAAAGAAAGAGAGACAGAGACAGAGACAGAGAGGGAAGGAGGGAGGGAGGGAGGGAGGGAGGGAGGGAGGGAGGAAGGAAGGAAGGAAGGAAGGAAGGAAGGAAGGAAGGAAGGAAGGAAGGAAGGAAGGAAGGAAGGAAGGAAAACAATATTATAGTTATAAAGCAATTTAAATTTGGAGCACATAAATTCAGGTCATAATTACCAAAAAGTAGGCAATTGCTGGAGAGCCCTTCAATTATCTTTTTGTCACCTTAGACGGGAAATACTTGAACATTGTATTGTAAGTTATCGAATAGGCATAACCTGATTGACTAAGAAATACTTCAAAGCTTCCATTTTAAAGTCTATGGAAGACTGTGATTTGTTTTTTTTTTTTAAGAGACACAGAGAAGTACAACCTACGATTTCAAGATCTGGAATTAGGATTTGTATTTACTTTGTTATGCCAGGAAAACTTAAGACACTGTGGTTTAGCAAGTGCTGACATTTTTACAGTTACTTTTTACTGGATGGCTGCTGGCACTGCAGTAGAAAGCAACACCAGTTAATTGCTTAGTACTGAATATACTATTTAGTCAAGACAATAATGATTAAACTTTCATGTTTTTGCCAAACAACTGAATCAAGATAGTTTAATATCCAACTGATTGTATACTGATTTAAGGTTCCAGGCATACCCCACAATGCACTCTACATGGAAGCTTTTTGTCACCTTTAAGCCTTAAATGGCCTGGGGCCAGGTTATTTGAATTTAATTTAATAACTTTATTGTCATTGTACGTGTATACACAATATACCCATACAACAAAATTCACTTAACACCCAAAAACCAGGTCCAACACACATAACAATCCCCAAACACACTCCCACCCACAATTCCCCACCCCTAAACCACTCAAACATCCACACAACAGACCAAGTAATGCTATCCAACAGCTCACTGATGGTGGCCCTTTAGTTCATTGTTGAGTGCAATTATAGCTCTGGGATAAAAACTATTCAAAAAACGTGTGTATTTGGAAAAGGAGCATCTTTTCCAAATTATATCTATTTCACCCACCAGAGTGGGAAGGCAGGGTATGTTACTGGTTCCTTCTCTTAAGGAGGTCCATCTGGTAGGACCAAGAAGGGCCTTCTCCATAATGGCTCCCTCCCTGTGGAACATCATACCTGCAGAAATAAGATTGGACCCCATTTTAAGCTCTTTCAAAACTCTGAAAACATATTATAGTTTTGCCAATGGGCCTGAGGATCCCAGGGTGATATGGAGCCAAGTGGTTGCTTTGATTGTTGTTATCAGGGGAATGGGAATTTATTGGGGTTTCTATTGGGCTTTTATTCTTGTAAGTTGCCTGGAGTCCCTTTGACTTAGATGGCTATATACATTTTATAAACAAACAAACAAATCCAAGTAATTCAGATTATGTACAGGAAGCTTCAGGAGCTGTCTCCTCTTATATCAGTTTCCCTGCTCCCTAAGAATTGATGGGAAGTCCTTCTCTTGGGCTCATCATGTGTTTAGTACAAGAGAAAGAGCATTTTAGTATCCCCAGTTGGAACAGCCTTTTAAGTGTTGGCATTCAAAGCTGAATCTCCCTGAAGTAGGAGGCTACATTTACACCATCTGAATCACTTTTCTGCCAATGAGTGACTTTCCTCCACAAGCAACACAACTATTAGAAAATATAAATATGCTGCTTCTGACTGCTTTATAATTTGCATAAGGAATTTTTGTGTTAGTGTAAAGGTAAAGATTCCCCTCGCACATATGTGCTAGGTTCCCGACTCTAGGGGGCGATGTTCATCTCCATTTCAAAACCGAAGAGCCAGCGCTGTTCAAAGATGTCTCCGTTGGTCATGTGGTCGGCATGACTCAACGCCAAAGGCGCACAGAATGCTGTCATCTCCCCACCAAAGGTGGTCCCTATTTTTCTATTTGCATTTTTTTTAACGTGCTTTTGAACTGTTAGGTTGCCAAAAGCTGGGACAAGTAATGGGAGCTCACCCCATGACACCGCACTATGGATTCAAACTGCTGAACTGCTGACCTTTCGATCGACAAGCTCAGCATCTTAGGCACTGAGCCACCCTGTCCCTCAGTTAGTTAGACCCTGTGTTAGTGTATTTTTTGTTTAATTTTGTTTTTATCTTTTATACATTTCAAAATTTGGGTATTATTTTAAATACTGGAAAGCTGCCCCGAGTAATCCTTAAAGCATTTGAGAGACAGAATATAAATCTTTTTAAATATGCCTGGAATGTATGTACGTATGTACGAATAAATAAACAGCTTTAATATATGGCTTAGAAGCAACTACCTCAATTTATGCTCTAATAGTTATTGGAAATGTAGAGGAGATTGGCAAACAACTATCAAGTCCAGACTTGTAGGCTAGACTGGGGAGTTGAAAAAACATCTTGGAACAAGAATAGCTAAATGCTTTTGTATTGTTGCCAAGAAAGTTACACTAATAAAGTCATCAAGAGTTGAGCTCAAATTGAAGAAGGCTTTACTTTTATCTTGCACATTACTGTATTGGAGCAGGACAGAAAAAGAGTTCCCTTGGCCAAACTGGAAAGCTGAGAATTGGGGGTTGCTTAAAATTGAAGCATTAGTAGGATACCATCTCTCTCTTCGGGAACCCAGTCTATTTTGCTCCTTCAGCAACAATAATTATTTGTTATTTACATACAGTACATAACCCATGGATTTTGACTAGGACCCGCCCAGAGTTGGTTATAAGATGGGTGGCTATATAAATGTTTTAAACAAATGAATGGATTAGAAATTCAGCTCTTACTGAAGCGTTACCCTTGAAATTCCTCATCTATCAGAAAAATGAGACACTGTGCAGAATTTATGCAGTGTCCTGCACTGGGGTTAAAATCCAGAAGATAGCATGGGCTTCATTAAGGATGTTTTGGAATTTAAAGCCCGTTTCATCAAAAACAAGAACTATGTTGTCTGTAGCTTTAGACAGTGACTGTACAGCAATAACAGAACTTTGTGCTATAAAATTTTGGCACCTTTCACAAAATTCCAACATTGTTCTGATAGATAAAGAGAAGTATAAACAAGGTTAAGAAAATAATGGAAAATTTAATACTGTGATGTTTTCTACTAAGAATCTTAAAAGGTTTAAATAATTACAAAAATATAAGTATCCTTGTAGAATTGTGCTGGAAATTATGAGCTATAGTAACAAAGATGAAATGACTGTCAATCAAAATACATGCAGCCTTAAAAGTCTAAATGAATGCATGAGACAAGTCTCAAAATGCTTAATGTTGTTTTCTTAGAATGCAAAAACCCTTCAGTGAAAGGATTTAGTTGTACAATTATTTTTTAAATGAAGTTAGGCTTTCTGCTGATGCTTGTTGAATAAAGTTTTAAATCTCCCAGAAAGTAAACACCACAAACACATATTTACTTGAGGGATGATCTTGTAGTCAAAATTATTTCACCATGCCATGATGGTATTCACAAACACCTTTAATAAAAGCCTCTGTCACAAGTAAGTTTTTATTTCCTGGGCTGACATAGCCTTTCTTAGACTGAGCTGCTGCTATAACAACATATAATGTAGACTAAGAAAAATATTTTTCTCCAAACCAACCAACAAGTAAGCAAAAACATCTCTTTGTGCTCTGGGGGAGCAACACCTATGCAGCAGATTACAGTCATGACTTTCCTATTAGTCTCTCTGCTCGTGGCTTTTAAATTGTGTTGGGAGAATTCTGGGAGACGAAGTTCACATATTTAAAGTTGCTGAGGTTGAAGCACTGATTTAAATGACAAGGGAAGAAAGAATCCTTTTACAGACTGCTGTTTTTGGACCTGGCTATTTTGAAAGTAGTATCTAACCTATACAGATTGCCAGTTATAATTTTAACAGCAACACTTCTAAAAGCAGTTCAGATGATCTCTGTATGATTTTCATCTACCAAAGTGCTTCAGGGCTAAAATCTGTCTGTCTGTCTGTCTGTCTGTCTGTCTGTCTGTCTGTCTGTCTATCCATCTATCCAATCTATCATCTATCCAATCTATCATCTATCCATTCAATTTATACAGCTGCCCAAAATGTGACTCTAAGTGGGTACAATAACAATCATAAAATAGCAACACAAAACACCTATGATTAAAACATAAATATTAGCATTAGAAGGCTAGGAGAAAGAGATATTACAAACAATGGAGACTCATCAACATCTCACCATTCCCTTAAGTTTTGAGGGAGTACAGGAAGTTTAACAAGGATGAAGCCAATCTCACCCTGGAGGAGGGGGTGGGTTTATGTTCCACAGGGTGGGTTCAGGGCAGAAAAGGACCCACAACCTTCCATATTCTTTTCTGCCAGACCTGAGCAGGAAGAGGCAGTCTTCCAAGTAACTTGGCTCCATGCCAGGAAGGGATTTCATAGAATGTCTTTCCAAGGCAGAACTCTATAATATTTTTGCTTTGTTTATTTCAGCACCTCCTCTGGCAATCATTTCACGTCTAATACTTCTGCTGCTGGGTTTTTACCATTTGTATTGGCAGCATGAGTGTCTTCATTGTTCATGGCTATTATGTTTGTGAACTAATTATTAGGTTTAAACTTTGGGTGCAATTACATGTATCTAAAAGAATCTGGTAGCAGCTTTGTAGCATATCTGACTCCACATACCTTCCATATTCCCTATAGCTATTTGCAGTCTTTTCATCTTTCCAAATTCACCATCTTTCAAACAAATAAGATTTGATAGCATTGTGTGTTTTTCATATTTGAATATCCATGTTACATCCATTCATTATATACTTTAAAAAAAAAAAAAGCATTTCCCCCTACTCTGCAACACTGTGTTGGGAACTTACCAAGTCCTGCCCCTTTGATAGATGGCCCAACGTGCCATTGGTTGAGGCTGCTTCTTTACTTGCTGGAGTGTTTTTATCAGATTGCTTTCCTTCCTCTTTAGCAGCTCCCCCTTGACCCAGCAGTGCAACTTCTCCGACTCCAAGAGCATTGTCTTTATATTGTTTTATAAACTCTTCCATCAGCTTGATTTCATTCTCCGAAAGGCCCCGACATTGGGAAGGGTCCTGATCATACAGAGGAAGTTGTCTCATCAACCTTCTACGACGGTAATAAGCACCTTCTGTGCCAGCCACGGGTTGCATTTCCTTTGAAATCAAACTCATATACTGGGTCGCCTGAAGAAATGGGGAGAAATACAAATTCAGCATAAAGAGGCACACAATCACAGCCTTGAAAAAGCACAGCAAGTCTTCACCCTCTCAAGTTGAGGGCATAAAACGCTGTGGTTTGAGCAGTCATTTTCTGTTCAGTAGCCCAAATACCTGGGGTTTCTTCCCTGCTGTCCAACCACAGGACATTACTCTAACAATAAGTACTCTGTTCATGCTTATTCAGAACAGAAACAATATCAGGATTGGTATTTTTTTTTTTTATGAAGACAACCGTATTAACAATGCAGTTGATACTTTCAGCATAAATATTCTAATATCTACCATAGGTAAAGGTAAAGGTTCCCCTCGCACATATGTGCTAATTGTTCCTGACTCTAGGGGGCGGTGTTCATCTCCGTTTCAAAGCTGAAGAGCCAGTGCTATCCGTAGACGTCTCCGTGGTCATGTGGCTGGCATGACTAAATGCCAAAGGTTCATGGAAAGCTGTTACCTTCCCACCAAAGGTGGTCCCTATTTTTCTACTTGCATTTTTTACGTGCTTTCGAACTGCTAGGTTGGCAGAAGCTGGGACAAGTAACTGGAGCTCATCCCATTATGCGGCACTAGGGATTTAAACCACTGCACTGCTGACCTTTCGATCGACAAACTCAGCATCTTAGCCACTGAGCCACTGTGTCCCTATATCTACCATATACATAATAAAACAGTATAGTACAGGTAGTCCTTGATTTAGGACCACAATTGAGCCCTAAATTTCCACTGCTAAGTAAGACAGTTATGAAGTGAATTTTGCTCCATTTTACAACCTTTGTCACAGTTGCTAGATGAATCACTGCAGTTGTTAAGTTAGCATCACGGTTGTTACAATAAGTGAATCTGGCTTCTCCATTGACTTTGCTTGTGAGAAGGTCACAAAAGGTGACCCTGGGACATTGCAACTGTCATATGAATATTATATATTGAGTCTTGGTATTCGGGTAAGTGAAGATAAAGGAAGGCTTGGCATATCCTTTGTTACCTCGCCACAAGGAACCAAATACTTTGATACAGGATCATGTTAGGGAAATGTTGAATAAAACCTTCCCTCTTTTCAACTAAAGCAGAGATAGAATCATGGAATGAGTTGGATTCAGATGCAGGGACCACTAAATCTGGGAAACCAAACTTTGGCTACCAGAAAGCTTAAGCTAAATGCTTCCATGAGAATGAATTTTATATTTATAATTACACTCAAATATTTAAAATGGCAATAAGCTTTTTAGTGGCTGTTTACCAAAAGCAACCAAAACCTGCATGTGTGATATAGTCTGCATGTGATATTTTTTCTGGAACAGAATAGAAACATGGACCACGTTCACTTTAGGCTACTTCCCTTGCTATTCTCCATCTGAGGGTAACATACCATTCTCCTTGCCAGTTGTTGAAAATGCAAATAGTTTGGCTCTGCCTTGTTCAGTCTCAATTTGCATGACATTCTAGAAACACAACACATTTTTGAATGCCCCAGCACTACAAAAAATGGGGGGGGGGATCAGTAAAAATCTCTTTTACTTTTTTGGAATCTCTAGTGTCTAGCAAATATTAATTATGAGCCTGGGGATATGCTTCCTATTTATGATAGATTACTTTCAAGTGGTTGCCAACATTTAGCTGGCTAAAAGCCATTAAAAAAGCAAGCTTGCTGTAATAGTTAATCACCAGCTGCTATGCCTTATAAATTCCCCGTGGTGCACAAATAATACTGGTGAGATATTAATGGTTCTCACTTAATACTTAAGGAAAAACAGAAACAGTATCGGGCTTGTACAGTGTCTAAAATGCTTCTTGTTCTGCCTTCTATTAAGGGCAGGATAAAAAAAGAGCCAATATATACCAACTTGGCCTCACTTGAAGCCGAATAATTCTGGGGAATGAAGTCCCAGCACATCTAAAGAGGGCTAAATTAGAAAAGGCTGCTTCATCTTTGCTTCTCGAGCACAACTTCCTTTTTTTAATGCAAATTAATGGAAAAACTTGAAGTGGAGGATGGTTACCAACAATAAAGGACAATTAAAATAAAAATAAAAATCAAGCAATCAAGTCAAATGCTACAAGAGAAAAGGATAACATTAATATTTTATTTGGATACTCTTTTTCTATCACCACAAGACAGTTTATCAGTAAACATGATTTATTTAGTTGGTTATTTATATCGCCACCCATCTTACCTAAGTGACTTTGGATGGCTTACATAATTAAAACAACAATTAGGAATAAAGCAAGATAAATGCCATTTAAACCAATTAAAGCAGTTAATTAAAATAAATTACTAACAGTGCAACCAACCAGCAGGCTTGACACCATCACTGGATCTCCAAGTCTTAAGAACAACATTTAGATTAATCTAAACTCATGTGCATATGCGGTGTATGCGTGCAAGTCTGAAAACGGACTGAAAGGCATCCAAATAATCTGCTTCATCTAAGATCCTTTGAAGCTGTTGCATGGCCACCTTCTCAATAACTTCCCTCAAAGGGGAAGGTTGGATATTGGATCAGAGTTATTGAGTACAGCTAGAGCAATGAGGGTTTCTGGAGGGTATGTGAACCACTGCTTCCTTGAGAGGCAGGGGAACAATTCCATCTCCTCAAAAGAACTTAACACTGCCAGAATTCAACTGAATGTCATATCCTGGGAGGCCTTTATCAATTAGGAGGGGCATGGATCTCAACAACATAAACAGATGGCTAAGCAGACATGAGGACTGATCCACTTTATCAGGCCCAACAGACCTCCCAGAGAACAAACAAGGCAATGCTCCATGAACATGTATCGGACTTGCATCAAGGCTGATGTCCAACTGAGAGTGAATCCAACAGGTGCCCTGCATTTTCTTCTGTGTGAAGCTATAGATGGATTTCAGTGTTCTCTCTATCCAACTGAAATAACGGTGAAGAGATATTGACGTTTTGCCACCCTTACCGCCACAAAGTAGACCTTAATAGCAGCTCTAACCTTATTTAGTAAAGTTCACTCCTTGTTGACCTTAGAACATTATTCTAAGTGTCTTAAATAACTCTTTTCATTTCCTGGGAATTGTTGGATCCATGGGAAAGAAAAAGCTGCAACTAATAAACTAAAAGCTTAGTTTATTGGCATAAACTAATCCAAAGCACCGGCTACTCTCCCATTCCAGAGTGGGTATCAACTAACCTTGGCTGAACAATCTCCACTTCCCTTGGAATCCAACTGTGTCCATCAGTTGCTGTGGGTGGAGCAATTGAAAAGTTCCCACCTCTCTGTAGTGCGGTGCAGTGCAAGACAATCTCATGGTTACCAGAGAGTAGTTTGACTGTGTTAGCAAAGCACAAAGAGCTGCCCCAATTCTATATTATCTTACCATCGCTTGAACAAGAGAACCAGATCAGGTGTGTGACCATTGTCATGAGTCAGACCTTAGATGACCTAGGATAAGTCCATGGTGGTCATAAACTCCTGAGTAGCTTTAGACCAACAGAAGTCAGACTGAATGCCGGAACCATAAGCCTGAGAAACTCTATGGGCAACCCAGAAGTTGAGTTAAGGAGCTCAGTCTGAGAAGTCACTATAGGCACAGAGAGGCTACCAGGACCAATCTCAACTGATCCCTAGAGTCCAGCTTAATAAACTGTGTCTCACATCTGGTAACCTGTGGAATTTCTCTTGAGAACCATTAGAGATTCCTAGATGGTAACCCTACTGTTAATCTGGAATCTTGATTGATGCCACACTTGAAACCCAGTTGGATACATTTATAAGAGGAGAACATCCCTTTCTGAACCCAGTAATACATGCCAAGACAGCCCTCATCCATGATGAAATTACAAATGAGAGAAGCCTTATTATAGTGTGACCTGGCATTCAGTAGCAACAACTGAATGACACTGCAGATTAATTTACAGAGATAACAGGGTGATTAATTCTAAACTAACATTTAAAGGAGAAGCTGTTGTTGGCACAGCTGATGGATCAGGATTGAAAAAACAGGAACATTTCTGAAATGAAAATTCTTCAGAGGCAGCCAGTTGGCCAACCAGTGTTTTTAGAAGAAAGGCTTCCAGCTATATTAATTCAATTTATTTCCATCTTGGTCAGCAAATTGTCAATGAACTGTAGAAAGATTTTTAATATATACTGAGGTTTCACTATATGTGAAGTTCAAGCCTTGAAACCAGAGATCTGCTGCCCAAATATCAGTACAATAGGCAAAGTATATAGCTGCATCAACAAAAATAATTGTGGAAGGGTTCAATATGGATAAGGAAGCAAGTTTTGTTCACTATGCTGGGTAAGAGTTAATAGGAAAGCGTGATGGATTTCAATGTAGAAAAGGTGAATCAACCCAGCTTAGAGAAGGGGTGGGCAATTAATTTTCTTATGGGGCCACATGAAAAACTGGAACTGTTGTGGAAGCCTGAACCAATGTAACCTGATTTATGTCCTCAAACTCTGTGACCTCAACTCCTCAAGCTGCTCCAGAAGAGAGGTGAGCACTGCGTAGGTGCAGAAAAATGCCTTTTCTTATTGCCTTCCTGCAGCCACTGGTGACTGAAGGAGTGCACAGCAACTGTGTACAGGTGGACCTAATTCATCTTCTTCTCTTGCCCCTGGGGTGAACTTATTTGCATTTGATTTCTAATTTCCAATTAGCCTCAGGTGAGCCAAAGACGGAGGGCCAAAGGGTCACATATGGCCAGGTCTTGCTTAGAGAGAAGTTAAGGCACCAGGCTGGAAACAAGGAGACTGTGAAGGTCTATGGAGGTTCTCAGTCATCCATGGTTATGGTTGTCCCAAAGGTGCTTTTTCAAGAGGCAATTGGACTTTCTGGTTTTTCTCTGAAGACGTTTCGCTTCTCATCCAGAAGCTTCTTCAGCTCTGACTGGATGGAGGGGAATGGAAGGATTTAGATGTATACCAGCTGTCTACAAGGAATATAAATCCTTCCATTCGCCACTATCTAGTCAGAGCTGAAGAAGCTTCTTGGA